CCCGGAGCAGGGGGCACCCCAGCAGGCGCGCGTGCGAAAAATATACGTTTTACGAAGAGAACGGGTGATTTTATACAGCTAGAGGCCCTCCAGGGGCGCATCGTGAAAGCCTCTTGGGGCGTCTTGGGGGCCTCTTCAGCCGTCTGGAGGCCGTCGTCAGCGTTTTGGATCGCTCTTGGACCGTCGAGGACCATGTGGCGCTCTCGTCGAGGCCGCTCGGAGCGCCCCTGGAGCGCCCTCGGAACCGTTTTCGGAGCCCTTTTTGGGCCGTTTTGGGCGTGCGTTGGCCCGTCTTGGGGCCCTCGAGGGCTCTGTGGGAACCCTCTTGGAGGCGTCTTGGGCTGCTGGGAGCGGGTTTGGGTGGCTCTGGGGCCGTCCAGGAGCGGGGGACACCCCCAAAAGGCGCACGTGTGAACAAATGTACGTTTGACGAAGGAAACAAGGGATTTTGTGCTTCTAGAGGCCCTGTTGGGGCGCATCGTGGATGCCTCTTGGGGCGTCTTGGGGGCCTCTTCAGCCGTTTGGAGGCCGTCGTCAGCGTTTTGGATCGGCTTTGGACCGTCGAGGACCATGTGGAGCTTTCGTCGAGGCCACTCGGACCGCTCCTGGAGCGCTGTCGGGGCCGTTTTCGGAGCCCTTTCTGGGCCGTTTTGGACGTGCGTTGGCCCGTCTTGGGGCCCTCGAGGGCTCTGTGGGGACCCTCTTGGAGGCGTCTTGGACCGTCTGGGAGCGGGTTTGGGGGGCTTTGGGGCCGTGCAGGAGCGGGGGACACCCCCAAAGGCGCACGTGTGAAAAAAAATACGTTTTACGAAGGAAACGAACGATTTGTTGCGTCTCGAGGGCCTCTTGGGGGGAATCTTGGATGCATGTGGGGGCGTCTGGGGTTGCCTCGTGAGCCGTCGGGAGGTCATCGTCGATGTTTCTGATCGCTCTTGGACCGTCTGGGACCATGTGGAGCTTCGTGGAGGCAGCTCGGAACGCTCCTGGAACGCTCTTGGGGTTGTTTTCGGGGCCCTCTTGGGCCGTCTTGGACGGGGCCGTCTGGGAGCGGGTTTGGGAGCCTCTTGGGCCGTCGGGGAGCATCGGAAAGATCCAAAGCTGAATTACGGAAAAATTTACATTTCATGAAGGGAATGGCCCAATTTTTGTGTCTAGGGACCCTTGTGGAACGCATCTCAGAGGCCCTCGGGGGGGCTCGTGGGGACCTCTTCTGCCGTCGAGGACGCCTCGTGGCCCGTATTCGGGCCAACTTGGACGTCTTGGAGCGCTCGTGGGGCGTCCCAAACCCATTTCGAGGCCACCAGACGCGTCCCTACACTTTTTTCGCGCGTTTTTCAACGATTTTCGGGAGCGGATGAGACCTCCGGGGGGTTCCGGGCCGCCCGGGGCCGTCCGGCCGGACCCCCCCCCCTCCAAATGGACCGGACCGGGTTCCCGGGGGAGGGGTTTGGGGAGGGAGGACATCTCACGCGCCGATGAACCCCAAGGGGTCGGCGGATTCCCGGACGATAGCGGGCGTTAACGGTGGGGGGATGGGTCTAGGCCGGGGATCCGAGTAGATGGGATCGGAGGATGGCGCCGCAACGCGGATGCATCGCCGATGCACTGGCGGTGCGGCTCGTTGTGGTGCCCGATGTTCTCCAGGCAGAAGGCGCTGATGCATCCCTGACGTCGCCGAGGCATCACCGATGCCTCGCCGACGTATTGGCGATGCATCGGCGATGCGGCGCGATCGTCCGACCCCATCGATCTGGACCCCATCTAGGAGGACTTTACTCAGCGGGGTGGGGAGAGGCCAGTAACGTTGCGTTGCGCGCCAGCACCGTCTGGGAACGTCCGGGAACAAGCGCAAGGACGATTCGGAGGTCAGCACGAATCGCGACGTAATTCACTCAAGCAGCACCTCGTAATAACATTCTTTGACTGGGACTTTTCCCAAACGCTGGATGCAGTTCAGTAGCGCTATCGTTGCTGGCGGATTCGAGCTGGGCCTTATTGCGCTGCGGAACGAGAGACAAAGACTCTGGCAAGAAACATCCCTATGATTACGCCATTGCGTGAAGTCTTCCATGATTAGAACAGTCGCCGGAATAGACTGAAGCATTATTTTTGGATGACTTCGAACTAAAAGTGCATGCAGAGCTGCCGCCGCCGCCTCTTACGGCAGGTTCGCGTTCGCGTTGTGTCGACCAGCGACGACCCCTCCGCTGGCGTTCAACGTTGAAGCGTCGGGATCGTTCAACGTTGAACGCTGCTGGCGTTCAACGTTGAACATCCCGACGTTTCGGGAACGGCCGATCGTGCAAGGCTGAACGATCCCCGCGGTGTCTGGACCGGGAACCAACGCCGGGGTCGACACGACACGGACCTGCCGTAGCGACTTTCGTTGGCCAGCCTCGTTCGAAGCACGTTGACTTGGCCCTTGCATCCTTACCGAGCATCCTTCTGATACGACTTGGCTGGAAGGTCGAGGTTCGTTCGTGGAGGGTACCCTAGGACGGGTTCGGACGAGGACAAATCCGTTCCAGAGCGATCCGGGACGCTCTGAGAGCGTTCCGGAACGCTCTGAGAAGGCTTGGGCGCTGGAGACATCTTCCAGAGCCGCTGGATCTCAGAGATTATCGTTTTATTGCCATCCGATGTTATCTTCGTCCTGGCTTTGTCTTATACCCTAATGTTCTCCGTGTTCGTTGCAAGTCCGCTTCGCTCATTCCGCCGGCCCTGGAGCCCTCTTTAGGGCCTCTTGGGGGCCTCTTGGGGACCTCTTGGGAGTCTCTTGGGCTCCTTGGCGGCGTCTTGGGGGCACCTGTCTCAGAGATTACGTTTTATCCGTAAGGGCTGCGCCCCCTGCCGCCGGCCCCCTCTCTCGGAGAATGGGCCACGGAAGAGCGAAGTCATGAGGCTTTGTTTTTTTTCCGTGAAGCAGTGTCGGGACCTATTTGTTTTTCGACCCTGACCCTGCCGATCTGCGTGAGGGGTGCCGCCGAATTTCAGACATGTGGCAAATCCCTCCTGTTTTGAACCCTGACCCTACGGATCTGCTTGAGGGGTGCCACCGAATTTCAGAAATGCTTCAAATCCCATGTGTTTTTGGACCCTGACCCCGCCGATCTGCGTGAGGGGCGCCAGGAAATTTCAGAAATGTAGCAAATCCGTTGTGTTTTTCGACCCTCACCCCGCCGATCTGTGGAGGGGTGCCACCGAATTTCAGACATGTGGGAAATCCCGTGTGTTTTTGGACCCTGACCCCGCCGATCTGAGTGAGTGGTGCCACAGAATTTCAGAAATGTGGCAAATCCCATGTGCTTTTGGACCCTGACCTCGCCGATCTGCATGAGGGGTGCAACCGAATTCCAGAAATGTGGCAAATCCTTTGTTTTTTGGGACCCTGACCCCGCCGATCTGCGTGAGGGGTGTAAATTTTTACCCCCCCAGGAATTCTGAGAACCCTCCCGGGGCACGCTAACCAGGGTAGTTTTCGGCTCCCCCCCTTCGCGCGGACAGTAACAATTTACAGTAGGAAGCATAAAGCAGTACTGTAACAATGGAAACTGGAAGCTGGAACTGGTGCAGGGAGCAGCAAGCTTAAGCCTCGCAGCCTGATGGCCCCGCAAGGGGGCCGGCGGATTTTCATCCGATGTTATCTTCGTCCTGGCTTTGTCTCATACCCTAATGTTCTCCGTGTTCGTTGAAAGTTCTGGGGGAGGGTGCCCTCGAATGTTCTTCAGTTTGGCTGGCGGAGGGTTTCATGGTCTTGCAGGATGGCTTGCCGACCGTGCACCGAGAGATCAGGCGCTTTGTTTGTGTACGCAGCGTGCCTCCCCAGAGGTCACCGAACCTGGGGCCCGGCGAGGGCCACCAGAGGCGGAACTTTGCGAACTCATCAGCCTTTTTGATTCTTAACTTTTTAGAGCTGAGCGCGCTCTGGAAACGACAGGGCAGTTTGTTGACCGTTGACGGTGTTCCGTTTGTGTATGTTCGTCCATGCGCTTTTTTTGACGTTTCAGGCGCCTTTGTTTGACAGTGTTCGTTTCCCCTGGTAAGGGGCCTGGTCCAAATCACCGCGAGTTTAGCTGATCCGACCCGTTTTCGAGCCGGTTCCAGGCGTCGTTCGGGGAGCTCCACCGAAGGCCTCAGAGGCGACGTTCGAATGCGCCCGCGCCACCCAGTACAGCGCGTCATGGCCCAAAGGAAGCTCCACCGAAGGCCCCAGAGGCGACGTTCGCACGCGTCCGCACCACCCAGTTCAGCGCTTCGTGGCCAAATTGGGAGCTCCACCGAAGGCCCCAGAGGCAACGTTCGCATGCGTCTCCCCCACCCAGTACAACGCTTCGTTGCCAAATAGGGAACTCCACAGAAGGCCCCAGGGGCGACGCTCGCATGAGTTCGCGCCACCAAGTGCAGCGCTTCGTGGCCCCACCCAGTAGCCGCGGCCGCATGCGTCGGCGCCACCCAGTGCAGCGGTTCGCGGCCCCATAGAGGCAGTTCCACGAAAGGCCCCATGGCCGCATGCGTCCACGCTGCTCAGCTCAGCGCTTTGTGGCCTCATCGGGAGCTTCACCGAAGGCCCCAGTGGCCGCGGCCGCATGCACCCGCGCTACCCAGTACAGCGCTTCGTGGTTCGATAGGGAGCTCCACCAAAGGCCCCGGTGGCCGCGGCCACATGCGTCTCCCCCACCCATTGCAGGACACCCCGTCACGCGCTTCGTGGCCCCAGGGAACTCCACCGAAAGCGGTACCCGCAACGCGGTAGTCACAACTGCATATGGTGGGGTCTATCGCCAGGATTATCGCGCTTGCCTTGCCCACTGTCGAGAAGCAAGCTTTCAAAACCGAGCAAAAATTGAAGTGGCCCTGCCGTGTCCAGGGCCCACGAGGCTTCAGGGGCCGGGGCAGCTGGTGCCCGTCCAGCGCAGCTCCCCGAGCGGGCAGGCCGAGACGGCCGGCGAGAGAAGGGCACAGGGACAAGCGCGGAGAGCGGCGCGCGCGTCGCGCCCCAGGCAAGGCGGTGCCCGCGGAGGCCGAGGATACGGACGGCGTGCCGGTGCGGTATGGCGAGGACCGCCCCGGGAACATCGAGGCGGGGGGTCAATGCCAACGGGGGTCAGCCAGAGCGCCGGAGCTTTTAGGATCCTGCGGAGCCAGGGTCGCATCGACCCGGGTTTTGGGCGCAGGATTTTGCAGGGTCCTGCAGGATTTTGCAACGCTTGACTGGCCCGGGTCTGGATTGACCTGGGTCCGTGGATCCCCGACCGCCGTTCGTTGACGACGCGCACAAAGGGGGTACCGCGAGAAGGGCAGCCTTCAGAGAAGGCGTGGGAGTTTCTCGAAAAGGCAGGGGTCTTCGTATCCGCCCTCCTGGTTTCTGAGAAGCCTTCTCAGAAGTCCTCAGGCCCGTCCCGTGCGGTACCTCGAGGACCGCGGTACATCGAGGACTGCGGTGTCGGAGGGTTCGCCACGAAGGAAGCGGGTCGTGAGGGAAGCGTCAGATCCCATAGTTCTTAACGCTTCGCGTACCCCCACCAGCACCCGCCCGACCACAACGGCAACGACGACAGCACGGAAGAAGAGATCCCCCTTGCAAAGGTGGAGTCTCCCGACTTCGGGGATGACGAACCACCTCGTCCTCTTACCTGCTCTGAGTCGGCCCAGGACGACGACGATGATCGCTCAGGCGATGAGGCGCCTCAGCAAAGCCCATCGGCGGGCAGCTCCGACGCCAGCCGCGACGAGACTGCGACCTCAGCCGAGGAGGAAGCGCCCTGCGCCGACCGCCGTAGCGGTCCAGCCCGTGATCCCACGAGGGACGAGAGAACCCGCGACCGAGATGACTCGCGGTCCGAGCGCTCTCCCGCGCCCACCCCGCAGCTCCCTGGACAGAGGCACTATCACCCTGCCCATACTGGTACAGCGGAACAGGATGCACTCAACCGGTTGACCTGTCCGGAGGGGGGCGGCCCCATGTACAAAGTCCGGCTGGGCACAGTTGACCTCGAGCGTCCCAATGAGACTCCAGCCAAACGCATAACCAGGCTTCGGTCGGAGCTGGGCGCAGTCTTCTGCGCGCTTTGGACAGCAAACACGCAACGAACTTGGATCCCTGGATCCAGGGCGCCCAAATCCGACCCGAAACTACACACGGCCACAGACATCAACAACTTTCTTGACGCCTGGAAGGGCTGTGGGTATGACGCCTACGAGATGAACAAGAAGCTGGGCTACGGCATTGACTGGGACAGGCTACGAGCCAAATTCCTGCGGCACTCCCGTACAGACGACAGGGGCAAAGGCAGCTACCACCAGACCGGCTGGCGGGACCGCGCGTCGAGCTCCTGGAACACCTGGGGCAGCTGGCAGGGCGAGTGGAGTGACGGATGGCGCGAAGATCGCTGGCAGACGGGTGGCAAGCGCGGCGGTGACTGCCCCGACGATGGGACGATAGAGATGAAAAGAGGCTCCGCTGGAGAGACTGAGGCCACTCTTCGCTCTCTCCCCGCCCCCAGCGACTAGCGCCACCACCTGCACCTCTCTACACACTGTTTGCGGCCCTCCGCCGCCGTCTTTCTCCAACCGCGGGGCAGCACCACCGCCCCCCTCCCCTGGACGGCACTCCTCCGACCTTTGCACCTTGAAGTGCCGCTCAGTAATACCATCTGCACTCTGCGTGACAGCGCGCATCCTGCAGACCCACAGGCCACTGGCTCCGCTGCCTTACTCTACCGGTGGCCCCTGCACTCTCGCCGCAAGGTCTCCTCGTTCCTGGCTACGTTTCACATCCTGACATCCTCCTGGCGTTGCCTTGGCCGCGCCGCGGGCGTTTCACATCCTGACGTCCTCCTGGCGCTGCCTTGGCCGCGCCGCGGGCCCCCGAAAACCTCCTGGCGCTGCCTCGGGCCGCGCCGCGGGCCCCTTCAATTGCGGCGCTCTGCCGCCCTCCTCCGGTGTGCGTACCTCCTGCCTTTGGATTCAGGTGCGCGCCTCGGTAATACCGTCCACAGCCCGCCCGCTGTTGGACTGGCGGCCTCCGGGCCCTACTGTAGGTCTTTCACCGCCAGGCGTGCCCTGGCCCGTGGCTGTGGACGCTGGCTTGCCTGTTCACAGGCCCATTCCCTGGATCTCTTAAAAGCTGAACGGCCTTCCGCCGTGACCCTGGACCGAAGTGGCTCTGAGGGATGCGTCTTGGGTATATGACGGTCTCGTCCCTCGGGTGCTATCCGACTCGGTTTGGATAGCGCTGAGACACTTTGGATGTGCACACGCCACGTGGTCGACCGTGTATCGTGCACTACGACGCCCTTCCACTCGGTGGGTCTGGGCTGACGCATCTCAGTTGTGGAAAGATCTCCTGTCATCATGCTCCACACCCTGGATGCGCGTCCTTGCGTCGCGACTTGGATTCGCCGTCAGGTTTTTCCGCTGGACTTTTGTCCCCAGTCAGTCTGTGTTACCCGTCAGACTCCCTGGATCGACGTCCTCGGGAACTCTTAAATGCTGAGCGGCCTTCCGCCGTGACCCTGGATCGAGTGGCTCTGAGGGATGCGTCTTGGTTATACGCAGGTCTCGCCCCTCGGGTGCTATCCGACTCGTTTTGGGTAGCGCTGAGACACTTTGGATGTGCACGCGCCACGTTGTCGACCGTGTATCGTGCACTACGGCGCCCTTCCACTCGTTGGATCTGGGCTGACGCATCTCAGTTGTGGAAGGTTCTCCTGTCAGCATGCTCCACACCCTGGATGCGCGTTCTGGCGACACGAGTGGTGTCACCGCCAGGATTTTCCGCTGGACTGATGTCCCCAGTCAGTCTGTGTTACCCGTCAGACTCCCTGGATCGATGTCCTCGGGAACGTTCCTTTCTGTTCGCATCTGGACTTCTGGGAACGCCTCACGCGCCATTTTGGCTGCGCCTGGTCTCGTCGGTGCCTGTCCTCAGGCTCGTTGGATGCACCGTTGCATGCCCGTCCAGGGGCTGTCTCAGACTCCCTGGATTGCACGTCGGCTCTGCCACCCTGGGCGCTGCCCTTCCCCGCCGCCTGATCCGCGGCCCCCGCGCGCGCTAGGCAATTTAGTCGCGGCCGTAGCCCGCCCGCGACCTCCCGCCGCTGGCGCTTCCGCCTGCGGCTGTAATTTTTATTACCTAACAGCGTAGACTGATACGTTTCTAGTAGTCTCAAAAAAGGTCACAGATCACTCCACAGGGGGGTCCGGGCAGGTGTTGGGAGTTGCCGGGCGGGTTGTGTCCACTTCGCTTTTCACCAACAGTCACACACTTCGTGCTCTTCGAGTTCCCAGAACTCCATTCCCAGGCTCATTCTGAATAGCTGGATGCAACAGTCACACACTTCGTGCTCTTCGAGATCCCAGAACGCCATTCCCGGGCCACCTTTAGAATAACCGGATGCAACAGTCACACACTTCGTGCTCTTCGACATCCCAGAACGCCATTCCCGGGCCACATTCTGGAGGGCCGGATGCAACAGTCACACACTTCGTGCTCTTCGAGTTCCCAGAACTCCATTCCCGGGCCACATTTTGAATGCCCGGAGCCAACTGTAGGCCACTTCGTGGTCTTCGAGTCCCCAGAACTCCATTCCCGGGCCACATTTTGAATGCCCGGAGCCAACTGTAGGCCACTTCGTGCTCTTCGAGTTCCCAGAACTCCATTCCCGGGCCACATTTTGAATGCCCGTAGCCAACTGTAGGCAACTTCGTGCTCTTCGACTTCCCAGAACTCCCATTCCTGGGCCACATTTTCAGCAGGGGCAAGAGCACGACGAGGAGGAGGACGAGCAAGACCAGGAGGACGAGGACGAGCAGGAGCAGGACGAGGAGCAGGAGGAGCAGGAGAAGAAGGACGAGCAGGAGGAGGAGGAGGACGAGCAGGAGGAGGAGGACGACCAGGAGGAGGAGGACGACCAGGAAGAGGAGGAGGAGGAGGAGGAGGAGGGGGAGGAGTACCAGGAGGAGGAGGAGGAGGAGGAGGAGGAGGAGGAGGAGGAGGAGGAGGAGGAGGAGGAGGAGGACGAGGACGAGGAGGAGGAGGAGGAGGGGGGGGGAGAGTACCAGGAGGAGGAGAACGAGGACCACCAGGAGGAGGAGGAGGAGGAGGAGGAGGAGGAGGAGGAGGAGGAGGAGGAGGAGAGAACACCAGGAGGAGGAGGACGAGCAAGACGAGGAGGACGAGAACGAGGACGACCAGGAAGAGGAGGAGGAGGAGGAGGAGGGGAGGGGGAGGACTACCAGGAGGAGGAGGAGGAGGAGGAGGAGGAGGAGGAGGAGGAGGAGGACGAGGAGGAGGAGGAGGAGGAGGACGAGGAGGAGGAGGGGGGGGGAGAGCACCAGGAGGAGGAGAACGAGGACCACCAGGAGGAGGAGGAGGAGGAGGAGGAGGAGGAGGAGGAGGAGGAGAGCACCAGGAGGAGGAGGACGAGCAAGACGAGGAGGACGAGAACCAGGACGAGCAGGAGGAAGAGGAGGAGGAGGAGGGAGGAGGAGCAGGAGAAAGAGGAGGAGGAGGAGGAGGCAGGCTGAGGCTGAGGCTGTGACTGCGACTGCCGTTGCCGCTGCGACTGTCATCGCGAATGCGACTACGACTGCGAGAACAGCAGAATTCGACAACTGGATTTTCATCTGAGTCTTAAGGGGAATGCTTTCAGATATGCTTCTACACATCGCTGTTAGGTTGCTTTGCCGGGATAATATATGTATATGTATATGTAAATGTATGTATGTATGTATGTGTGTATATATATATATTATATATATAATCAAAAAAACAGTTTAGGATGCCCCCCGCCGTCAGCTCCCCCACTGCCTCGCGGCTGCTTTGTGAGTGGGCCGGCCGGCTAGTGCGCTTCTTGTAGCTAACTAGGCTTGCCCGTTGGCCCGGACACCCTGCCCGGCGCCTGCGTCTTCGCTTGCGGCCGCGACAGAAAAAGAGTATCCCCACCAGCCCTTTGCTTCGGCGCGGCCCGCCCCAGCTTTGCCGGGATTTCGACTTGCCCCGCGAGCCCGCGGACCAAAAAATATCCCCACTAGTCTATCCAGAAACGATGCCCAGGC